GAAAAATAACGAGATTAAGAAGGCGCAGGAATCGTTTCGTATGCAATTATTTTATTATACTTTTTTATTTATTAATTCATACAATTATTTTATTAAATTGATCATTTTATATGTATATTTTTTCTAGTATTTTCTAAACAGATCCTTGAACGAGCCTTATAAATCGGGTTGTTTCGAGAGAAAACAAATCTTGGACTGGACCGGACCGGACCGATCCAACCCTACCGGATATAACCGAAAAATAAACTTACCATTCTTTTTAATCTCTTGCGGGCAGAATAATCTTTATATAAAGGCAAGCATGAAAGTAATGCACTGAACTGTTTTATTTCCTTTTGCTATGCAAAAATTTTTCGGAATATAGTAGTAGCTCTGAAATTGAAATCCTTTATTTCTTTGAGGACTTTGGAAGTTTGTAGACTGGAGGAACCAAATTGACAGAGTAAAGGACTATGTAGGCGGATTATAAAAATATAAATTATATACTACATCTTTTTGATTAACCTTGGAACATAAAGTATTGTTTCAATATTATGGAGTGGAGAAATAATAGTAATGTCACAATGAGAAATTTTTTCTTTGAATATAAAACAAACCTCACTAAATGTCGCAAGTCGAAACTCTTTTATTACAAATTATTGATTTATTTAGAGTTTGAATTTTCAAAATAATGAACGCTTCTGTACAATAAGTTCTTGTCAAATTTATCTTCTATTTGTTTATTAAAAAAAGAGAAATTGCATAATTGATAATTACCGCAGTAAGCGATCACTTATCGCATGATTTATACAACTGTGCAATGTTCGGAAAATATATTCTAATTTTGGTCATGATAATTCCTTTTATATCCTTATTGAAACTACAAAGAAATTTTTTTATTTTTAAAAAAAATGGACGTCCATGAAGATGAAACTCTAGTCGATAAATTAGAAAAAAATTGTTCTTATTTCGATAAACCGTTTGAAGAGTTATTATGGTGTAAAGAATGTGATCCTTTGCGTATGATTGAAGGGTGGACTAGTGGAAATTCTGATATAGATATATTCATCAAAGATACAATGTATCATGCAAGAAATGAAAAAGTATATCCAAAGATTGCTTGAATGGGTGCCTTATGATAGATTCACAGATATAAAAGAAATTGGCGAAGGAGGGTTTGCCAAAGTGTATTTTGCAACATGGATCGATGGTCAATCTGAATTTAGAAAGCAAGATGACGGAAGTTGGAAGAAATCAAATCCTAAACCTATGAAGGTTGCTTTGAAAAGGTTAAATGGATCACGGGAAATGTCAGCTAAATATTTTAATGAGGTATATCACATTTATATATATTAATTTACTAAGAAAAACTTCTAATTTTGTTTAAATATTTATTTCGAAAATTAGCTTAAAATACATTGGGATTTTTGTAAAGAAAGTCCTACCAAATTAAAATTTTATGGTATAACTAAGGATCCAGAAACCAAGATTTTATTATGATCGTACAGGTTGCACCTGATGGAAATTTGAGAAGTTATCTTTCAGATAATTTTAACAACATTTTATGGAAAGATAAAATTAAAAGATTATATGATGTTATTTGTGATCTTTATAATTTACATAGTTTAGGATTTTGTCATAAGAATTTACATAACGGAAATATCTTGCAAGATAGTGATGCTTCTTATATTTCAGATTTTGGATTATCAGGGGCCATTTAATAAGCACAGATTTTCAAGATTCTTAGCTCATTACAATTAAGAGGTAATATGACATATCGTAATATTGACGTTAATAATTGAAGTTTATTATATTTGAA